GGTTTATGCAAGCACATCTACGGTGTTCTGCGTGATTTTTGGTGGGGAAGCAAGGAAGGAAAACGGAGGACTTGCTGGGTGGCATGGGATGATCAGCCTGTTCGTTTGGCTGTGGCTTGTCGTAAACAATCGTAAATTTCCAGCTGGAACAGTATTTTTCTCTCACACAAACCAGCCAGCAGTACTTCTTCACGAACCAGCAACGAAACGAACCAGCCAACCGAACAGGCTGGATATGTCGAAGCCAAAGTTCATGGGAGGTCCAGGTTTCAGAAACATAGAGCTCTTCAATCTGGCGCTTTTGGCACGCCAAGCTTGGCATCTGTTGCAGGACCCGAACTCGCTTAGTGCAAGAATTCTGAAGGCAGTGTACTATCCGGAGTGTGACCTGTTAGATGCCGAGGTCGGAGGGACACCATCAAGGGTGTGGCGTGCAGTTGTTGACGGTATCCATGTCCTTCGCCAAGGCCTAGTCAGGCGGATTGGATCGGGAGCATCGACAAGAATTTGGGATATGCCATGGATGCCAAGAGATGGCTTGATGCTACCAATGGGGACAGCGAGAGCGGACTCACCGCTGATGGTGAGCGAACTCATTGATCAACTGACCTGAAGGTGGAATATGCAGAGAGTGCGAAATTCACTCAGTCCTCTAGATTGGGAGCTGATTGGAAATATCCCACCGAGTACCTTTCCGCAGGAAGATTATTGGGCATGGCACTATGAAAAATCTAGAATCTTCTCAGTGTGATCAACTTATAGATTGCTTGCGACAAGCCAAGAGTCGTGGGCAGCTTGGACTGAAGGGAGGCCGAGCAGATCAAATGTTGGCACTCAGGAGAAAGAATGGACCGAGCTGTGGAGAACCAAGGTTCCCTCAAAGGTTCGGGTGTTTTTATGGCGATTGGCCAGACACTTGATCCCAACATGGGATGTGCGACACCATAGGAACATGGCTCCGGATGCAAGCTGTGCATTGTGCGGTGCTGCTGATTTGTGGAGGCACGTTCTTCTGGAGTGCAATCTGGCTAAATGCATGTGGGCTCTTGAGAATGAGAATATTATCGAATTCCTGGGCCAGCTTCATTGTTCGGATGCCCATGCTTGGTTAGCAGAGGTTATGAGCTCACTTAAACAGGATGAGATCACATGGGTGGTTGTTCGCCTGTGGGCGATATGGTTTGCAAGACGCAAGGCAATCCATGAAAATCAGTTCCAGAGCCCGTTCTTGACACATACTTTTGTTGAACGGTTCATCGGGGAACTTGAGGAGATCAACCAAGAGAGCCTGGAGGTGCTCCCGGTGGTAGCGCCAGTCCCGCGCTAGGTGAGACCTCCGAGTGGCTTGGCAAAGATTAATGTTGACGCGGCGATGTTCAAGAATTCAGGTCAGGCGGCGGCGGCTGTAGCCCAAGACGATGCTGGGCAACTATTTGGGGTCGTCTGCCCTGGTGGTGGAAGGGCACACCGACCTAGAGGTGATGGAGGTCGTGGCTTGCCGCGAAGGTCTCGCATTGGCCAGCAATCTTGGCTTGCAATCTTTCATGATAGCAAGCGATTGTGCCAATGTGGTGAGGAGTCTACTGGGTGAGGGGTTCGGTAGATACGGACCAATTGTCCGGGAGATCAACGTCAGAAGGAGCTTTATGAGAGCGGAGTTTGTCCATGAAGGATGAAAATCAAATGTCGATGCTCACTTATTAGCTAGAAGCTCTATAAATTTATCGATAGGTAGACATGTTTGGTTTTTGGAGCCTCCCGATGGAGTATGTAATTCTTATGTTATTGAATAAATAAAGTCAGAACTCCCCTAAGAAAACGCTCGGGCTCCCAAAAAACCCCGCGTCCGCTGCGTAAAGCAAACATGGATTAAGTGCTTAGCATGAGCACTCCCTCCATTTCAATTTATAGGTCGTTTTAGCTTTTCTAAATATACAATTTTAATTATGTATCTAAACATATCGTATATCTAGTTGCATAGTGAAAACTATGTATGCCAAAATGACCTATAGTATAGGACAGAGGGTGGTATGTTTGTTCCAAACTTTAAATTATTTTGATTTTTTATTTTAGATTGATAGTTTATGATATGCAATTAGATATATATTGTATTTAGATAGGGAGTAAAAGTTTTGTGTAGGTACAATTTTGAGTGGAGGAATATTTGAGAGTTTGCGAATTCTAGAGTGTTTGATCAGTAACCACACGTTAGGTAGGCATTCGGCTCAATGTTGCAACCACACCTTGCCAATCCATAATGTATCAAATTTACGATGTTCATTTTGCTCGCCAAATTTTAAACATGATTATGGCATTTTAAGCATACTTGTGACAAAAAGTGTGGAGAAAATATAGCCTAAATTTGAGCTCGTTTATAGATTTCAGTATTTCCCTCCACATTATTATTGCGTGTTCCCATACCGTCACTCGAGAGTCGAGTCCCTATCATCATCGCTCAAGATCCAAGCAAAGATATACTTCCGTGGCACGGTATGGGAAGGGGGTCGACTTCGAGTCCCTATCATATTATGTGCAGCAGGAGGGGGTCGACTTCGACGACGCCTTTGCTCCCGTGGCACGGATGGAGTCCGTGCGACTCCTCCTTGCTCTAGCTGCCCAGGAGGGCTGGCGTGTTCGTCACATGGACGTCAAGTCGGCGTTCCTTAACGGCGACTTGAAGGAGGAGGTCTACGTGCACCAGCCGCCGGGATTTGCGATCCCCGGCAAGGAGGGCAAGGTGCTCCGCCTGTGCAAGGCCCTCTATGGCTTGCGGCAGGCACCGAGGGCATGGAATACCAAGTTGGATTCCACGCTAAAGGGGATGGGCTTCGAGCAAAGCCCGCACGAGGCGGCCATCTACCGACGGGGCAATGGAGGTAATGCCCTGCTGGTGGGTGTCTACGTCGACGACTTGGTGATCACCGGCACCAAGGATGCGGAGGTGGTGGCATTCAAGGAAGAGATGAAGGCCACCTTCCAGATGAGTGACCTGGGGCCTCTCTCCTTCTACCTGGAAATTGAGGTGCACCAGGATGACTCTGGGATCACGCTTCGACAGACCGCCTACGCCAAGCGCGTCGTTGAGCTAGCTGGGCTCACCGACTGCAACCCAGCTCTCACTCCGATGGAGGAGAGGCTGAAGCTGAGCGGCGACAGCACGACGGAGGAGGTGGACGCTACGCAGTACCGGCGTCTTGTGGGGAGCCTTCGCTACCTCGCCCACACACGGCCGGACTTGGCATTCTCCGTCGGCTACGTTAGTCGGTTCATGCAGCGACCGACGACGGAGCACCAGCAGGCTGTGAAGAGGATCATCCGCTATGTTGCGGGGACTCTCGACCACGGCCTCTACTACCCGAGGTGCCCTGGGGCGGCACACTTCGTCGGGTACAGCGACAGCGACCACGCCGGCGACATCGACACCAGCAAGAGCACGAGCGGGATCCTCTTCTTCCTCGGTAAGTGCCTCGTTAGCTGGCAGTCGGTCAAGCAGCAGGTGGTGGCCCTGTCCAGCTGCGAGGCCGAGTACATAGCGGCCTCCACTGCTTCGACTCAGGCGCTCTGGCTCGCTCGACTGCTTGGTGATCTCCTCGGCAGAGACACTAGAGCGGTGGAGCTCAGGGTGGACAGCAAGTCCGCTCTGGCCCTGGCAAAGAACCCCGTGTTCCACGAACGCAGCAAGCACATCCGGGTGAGGTACCACTTCATCCGAGGCTGTTTGGAGGAAGGGAGCATCAAGGCGAGCTACATCAACACCAAGGACCAGCTTGCGGACCTACTCACCAAGCCCCTTGGGAAGATCAAGTTCCTTGAGCTCTGCTCCAGGACCGGGATGGTTCAACTTTCCCGCAAGACGACGCACAAGACTTAGGGGGAGAATGATGGATAAGTCTGGCTGGTCTATTGTGGGGCTGTTGGAGGCTGTTGCACAAGGACAACATCTAGTCTTTGTGGGGCTGTTGGCTGTTAGCATTTAGGACAGCATATTAGAGGACAACATCTTAGAGGACAGCACCTTAGCATCTTAGACTAGCATCTTAGCATCTTAGACTAGCATCTTAGACTAGCATCTTGGCATATGCTTGGCTGGCTAGCAGCCTATAAATATGTAACCCCAACCCCTCAGGTTGGCATGGCATTTGAGTAAGAAATAGACAAGAAAATTGCCCCAACTCCTAGTGTCATCCTCTCTCGATGAGAGTAAGAATTCTCCTACTACCAAGAGTGAGAATTCAGCGACTAACAATAACTTCCCCTACCTTGGCTGCATATTTATTTTTCTGAATATACACTACCTCCTTGCAAATAAACTGAACATTTCGTTGGTGGTTATATCTAATGTTAATTTGTTGCAATATTTCCTCGTTGGCAATGGTACTTAATGTTTTGAGTTTTCTATCCTTGGGGCACATCACACATATATAGAGCAATATATGCTTAAGTTGGTCATCAAGAGCACAATGAACTTGCCTGCTTTTGCTAATGTTTGGAGCTTAAAGCCCCATCTACAGGACGAGCTAACACTGATAGTTCTCTATCTGTTTTTTTAAAAGAGTATCCTCAGTTTTTAAGAAAGTAATAAGTTTGTTACATCATCCATGCTGGGGTGCCAGCTTACAAGCAAAAGCACAAAAAAGTCTAACAAAGCGCCGTGCTGCTATTGCAATAATTCAAATTTCTATGAAGATTATAAGATCGAATATTGTAAGATTGGATGGCTTGCTGGCTTAGTAGTGAACTGCAAATCAGCAGTACGCAATTGCAAGCAACAATACTCTCTCAGCAGTATTGGACGGGCTTATGCCGCATTTTCTAGTTACATTTAGTACCTGCACATCTTGGATAGGCTTAATGGCTCCATAAATAGATATCGTTAGATGCATTGTGATTCTGGTAATAATTTAGTCATGTAAATGGCGATATATTGATTTATGGCATGGACATGTATATGTATGCAGCACCGAAGTATCTGATTGTTTGTTTTGACTTTTTTTTTGCAGTTTTTTTGCCTTTGATACAGCTAATAAGTTCTTGACCCCCAAATCTGGGGAGGAACGGAAGATCCCAGTCCCTCCTTCACTAGTGGCTGGAGCATTTGCCGGTGTTAGCTCAACACTGTGTACATACCCTCTGGAATTGATTAAGACACGGCTAACTATACAGGTTAGTGCTAACCACAAGGCATACCTTCCCTAAATGTAATAGAATGAGTGGACCTTCATACTAAAGTGCAAAACATGAGGCTGTAATGGTTGCTCTCTAATTCTGCAGAGAGGTGTGTATGACAATTTCCTTGACGCATTTGTCAAGATCATACGCGATGAAGAGCCTACTGAACTCTACCGAGGCTTAACCCCAAGTCTGATTGGAGTGGTGCCATATGCTGCAACCAACTACTTTGCCTATGACACCCTGAAGAAGGTGTACAGGAAGGTGTTCAAGACAAATGAGATTGGCAACATTCCAACGCTGCTCATCGGGTCTGCTGCAGGAGCTATCTCAAGCACAGCGACATTCCCTCTTGAGGTCGCACGGAAGCACATGCAAGTTGGAGCTGTTGGTGGCAAGAAGGTTTACAAGAACATGCTCCATGCCCTCCTGAGCATTCTTGAGGATGAAGGGGTTGGGGGCCTGTACAGAGAGGGTTGGGGCCAAGCTTCATGAAGTTGATGCCTGCTGCTGGGATTTCGTTTATGTGCTACGAGGCTTACAAGAAGATTCTGATCGAAGAAGAGGATGAGTGAATTGTGTGCGGATGCATTACCTTATTAGAGCTCAGTTTTGCGACATCCTGACAGCAGGCAGCTTTCGGTATTTCTTTGAAGCGACTGGTGCTGGAGCTGGTTGAAGCTCGAGATTAAGGTTACTGCTGCAGTCAGCAGAAGTTCTTTAACCTGCTTTTGCATTTAGTTTGATCTGATAAATTAATTTCTTTTTTCCCAGATTTACTTTTGGGTACCACTTGTGTTGAAAACACAGTCTCTCGAAACTCATTACCGGGATGTATGAAAACGTTCAGATGCCATAGGCAATCATAATTCACAAGTGGCAAAGCTGCAATTGATCTGTGTTCTGTATGCATGAAGTTTCCCTTGACTGTGCTGTTTCTATGTCTCATGTCAGCACTGTATAAAACAGACGTACATATGTTGGTCTATGATGTCACGACAGTGAACAGTACATTAATAGTTAACGCCACCAAAATAGAAAAACCGTTGCACAAATGGAATAAATCAAAACATTGTATGTTCTAAGAACGCTGCACTCAACAAGTGAACACAAAACACCTAAAACATATCTCGTCTTCATGCATCAGCATCACCCAATTTAACCGGAGCTAACAAAGGAGAGAAAAAGGGAGAAAACAGGAAGGATAGCCATAACAAGTCCCTAAACTTTCTAGGTCTGTTCCTCGTCATCAACTGCGTTTGCATCTCCAGCATTGGCCGCCATCAACTCATCGAACATATCAGTCTTTCCCAGTACTATCTCAATCTGCAGACATGGCTCAGGGTCAATGTTTTCCGACACAAAGAAGAGTGCTACATGAAGATAAACAAATTGGAAGAAGAAAGAAAATGTACAGTGGTGTAGATCTGATTTCTAACCTTAGCCTTTTGGATTGGTCGGGCTTTCGTTTCGTCAATGGTTTCTACTGTGGATGTTCTAATCTCTGCACATGTTAAAGGGGGTAAATAAGACGGAGTTCAGAGCATACCCCAACAAGGGCTGCAGATTAACTTATCACAATGTAACTACATGCATGTTTGATAATGACGAAAGGCAAGTTCTTACTCTTCTCGACAGCAAGACCATTGTTCTTCAGGATCTCTGCAATGGTGACAACCGTTGATATGGCTGCAAGCAAATTAAATAGGCTCTGTTAGGTACTAAATTTATTTAGAAACATAATTCTAGGTCAACTACAGAAAAAAAAATAGTGTGAACTCCATCCTCGTATTGTTTAGAAAAGATACACTTTTTCCAATGCCTATAGGATGAATTTCCAATGCTTATGAACATGGAACAGGGGATGAAGATGGCATGAGTATGTTGATCAACATGTCTACACTAATATGATAGTACATTGGCCACCAATTTTGCCGTCCTTAGCTAAAACTTACAACAACAATAACGGTGACAAAGGAATTTCAACAGACATTACGACCTGAGACAAAATTGTGTAAGATCTGGTTTGCAGATTGAAATTAAAAAGATGCAAGAGAGAGGATGAGAACAAGGGGACGCACCCAGCCCGAGCGCGGAGAGCTCGACGTCGCCGTGCTGCTGCATGTATCTCTGCACAATACGTACGACAACGAGAATTAGCACCAGCCGGGCTCACCAGCCAAGAAACCAAACCACCATTGAAGAGGATGGGTGCAGTGAGAAGTAAGAGCCGACCGATGGATCGACGGACCGATACCTTGGCGAGATTGACGTAGAAGAATAGCGGCTTCTTGGAGCTGGACACCTGAATCCGGTTCCCTCCGACGGACTGCTGCTGCTGCTGTTGCGCGTCTCCGCCGGCCTGCACCGCCGCCGCCATGTCTCCGGACTTGTTGAAGAGATGACGAATCGACCGATCAATCAGAGCGTTTGATCTTCTCGCGAGATTGGATTGCGTTCTTGGTGGCGAGGCGAGGTGATGGCGGTTGGTATCAATGTCGGCCTCGGATCAGGGGAGGCAGGTAGAGGGAAGGCGAGCCGGATCGGGACTCCGGAGCGGGTCAGACGAGGACATCGACACCGAGTCCGTTCCGTCCCGTTTCAGGCCCGGTTGCGGCGTCCGAGTGGGCTTTAGTGGGCCGACATCGGCAGCGGCAGGGCTCCTGGGTCCATAACACGAACTGGCCTGTGGGCTGAAACAACACCAACCTTACATGCCAATGCCGGTTCCAAATACACAAAAGCTATCCTTTGCCCGTGTAAAACGTCTGGGGCTGTCACATAAATTTTGATCGATCTAAATTTTGATCGATCTCTCGCGCTCCCTCTTGGGTCTGTCCTCTCCGTTTTTTGGTCGCCGACACTTGGGTCCCACCTGTCAGCTTGTTTTTAGGAAACGCGCGCATTTATCTGTTTTGAACTGTTCACTTCCTTTCCCATTCGTCTTCGCTTCCTCCGTTCAGAATCACGGACCTGCCACAGGGGCTGGTGGACAACAGCAAGGCGTGCTAGGGCATCATATGCGTGGCTGCCCGGATGTCGGACGCCCGTGGCATCCTCGTCAACTCCTTCGAGTCGCTGGAGCCGCGCGCGATGCGGGCGCTCAGGGACGGGCTGTGCATGCCAGACCGCCCCACGCCGCCGGTCTCTTGCGTCGGGCCGCTGGTCTCGCCTGGCGGCGACAAGGACCACGAATGCCTCTGCTGGCTGGACGTGCAGCCGGACCGCAGCGTCGCGTTCCTCTGCGTCATGGATTTTGCCGTTGGTGGTGAGTGTTTCTTCTAGCTTTTGGTTAGATGTTGTAGATCCTGTTGTGGTCGACCTGATTTTGGTTGGATTTTTGCCGTTTTGATCTTCTCTCTGTTGTTTTGTGTTGGGGAGGCAGAGTCGGAGGCCGAGGCGGAGGGGATTTCCTTCGTCGATTTGCGTCGCTGGTGAGTTTTTTTCATGGCCGAGGCGAAGGAGGAGGCGGAGGTCATGGCTGAGGCGGAGTTGGAGCCGGAGGCGGACCTGTAGGCGGTAGCGGACCCCTGGGTTGAGTTGTAGTCGTAGTCTTCTCCGGCTTTGATTTGTTTCATCAGTGAGTTTTTCTTTCAGTTCATGTTTAGAAATTGTAGATCCGGTTGGTGGTGTTGTGATATTTGTTGTTTGTTCCTGATTCGTGTATGTCCATGAGGTTTAGTCTTAGGCGTCGTATTTTTGTTGGTTGATGATGTTTGTTGTAGTTTGAATATGATTGTGTGTAGATGGACATGTTCAATGGTAGTACTTAGCCATGGGAAACTTTGTCAGAGGGATATGAACTACTCTGTGTGGTTTGTTTATAAATTATTTCTTCTGTAGGTGTTATAGAAGTTGAGGCACAACATGATTTCTGTCATTTTGATTTCTCTGGAATTATGTCCTGACTGCAACTAGAATTTTAGCCCAGTTTTATATGTTTCATTTTCTGATTGTCTTATTTTGGTGCATTGTGTTGTGTCAGTGGATGCATTCTAAGTAACTGGAGGTGATTTGCCATGGTTACTGGATTCTTGTTGATGATTATTTATGTAGTGTTGTCATCATTTCCTTTGTTCTTTTTGTTGTTGTATTTGTAATTTTTTTGTTCGTAGGTGGAACCAATATTTTTATATTCTTTTTTTGTTCTTATTGTTTACCTTTTGCTTGGCTTGTTTATTGTAGTCATCATTCTTTGATGCTCTTGTTCAATTATTTTTTCTCTAGTTGCTCAAAATGCATTTGGGGTGACATTGATTGATTTTGACAATGATTAGGTAATTTCCAAACTAAGGGATGCAATGCTGATACTGATGATTAAAGGCCATGGTGATTATTATGATGATGAAAGAGTAAGTTTGGTGGCTTTCTCATTGTTTTTTATTAGCATTAATAATTATGTACCTATTATTATTTTTTAATTTTGTAGTTACAGTAGTGTTCAAGTACACTTACTGTTGTTGATTAGTTGTAATTCGTAGGTATTATTGATGTATTTAGTACTAAGTTTAAAAAGTTAACTTCCCTTGGCTAGTATTTTTGAATGGACTATGTAATTGTAGTTGCAATCCAAGGAAAATTTACTTTGATACGTTTGGTCAAGCACTGTCCTTAGATTTTTTTTGTTTTTGCATTCCTTAAAAAATTTCTGTCTTTATTGATTTGATTACTCGGGTGACCATTAGGCTCCTATTATCTCTGAAATAATCTTTGTTTTATTTGTTCTTTTTTTATCTGGTATGCTGAGACGTAGCTGGATGTGTACGAGGTGGAGGCAGAGTCATTTTTGTTGTTGATTTGTCTGCGTTGTCTGTATTTCAATCAGTATTTGGTTACAAGTTGTACATCTGCCTGCCAGTTTTCTTTTTCCTTTTTTGATCTGTTGTTTTTGGATATGTTCAGGCAGTAATATGAGATGCAGGTGGTTAATGATGGTCTTTCTGTGTTTTTTGTGATTTTTCAGAAACTGAGGTACTGCTCTACTCCTAAATTTTTGTGCTCTAGAGATGTTTGACTTTTATCTTTCTCTGCTTTCTTGACATAGTTTATTCTTGCTCCATTTATTTTGTTGCTACTTTTCTTGTCATGCCCCCTCTCTTTTGGCTGTTAAAATCTAGATGTTGAGTAGAAATGTTTTAAATTTTCTTCCAGGTTACTTAGGTTTTACTATCATATTACTATGGATTCATTTTGTAGTTACAGTAGAGTTCAACAACACTTACAGTTGTTGGGTTGGTGTAATTCGCAGGCATTATTGATGTAACTAGTACGAAGTTTATTTACTTTTGATATTTTTGGTTCATGAAATTCAGTTTGAATATTCATGATGAATTTAGCTTGTTTTTGTATATGTTTTTCTGGTACGCGGAGGCGGAGTCATTTTTGGCGTGTTGGTCCTTTGTTTTGTGGTTGTTCGAGCGGAGGTTGAGATGGAGGCCCTTGTTGATGGTATTTCTGTGTCGTTGGTGAGTATTCCATTTCAGTTTTCCATAGTT